TGTCTCGAAAAACCAAAAAAAAAAAAAAAAGAAAAAAAGAAAAGAAAAACCCTGTCTAAAACACACACACACACACACACACACCAATAACCAGTAACAATAAGTCAAATAGGAAAAGAAAACAAGAATGCTTTACAGTACTGACTTATATTTTGAGACAGGGCTTCAGGTGTCCAAGTCTGGCCTCAAACATATATGTGGAAATATGGCTCATTCAGCAGACTGTTTGTCTAGCATACATGAAGCCCTGTGTTCAAACATCAACATCACATAAACCAGTGATGGTAGCATATGCCCACAACCCAAAGACTTAGGAGATAGAGCAGGAGGATCAGAAGCTCAAAGTCATCCTCAACTACATATAAAATTCAAGGCTAGCCTGGGTTACATGAGACCCTGTTTCAAAACAGTAAAAATCCACAAAAGCAGAAAAAATATTTAAAATTCTATATCTGACCAGGAACCTTTATCTATTTAAAAAAAAGTGCTCCTAAAAAATGGTCAATTTTTAAATTTTCTTTGAGACAGGGTTTGTTTCTTTGTCCTGGAACTCACTCTGTAGACCAGGTATGACCTCTAACCCTGAGATCAGCCTGCCTCTGTCTCCTGAGAGCTGGGAGTAAAGGTGAGCACTACCACACCCAGGGAAAGTTATCTCTTTTTCTTAAGTATTTCTGCACGAAGTTTGACTTTCTTCATAAACCGATAAGGTATTAAAACAACTATTCTTTCCTACTTAAACTGGACATTAAAAACATTAGCAAAATATAGAAAGTGTTTCTCTTAACCAGTTTTTTGAAGACAGGTATTTTTTTCATGACATAATATATTATTTAGTATGTAAGGGTTTAGTATTGTAGGATTTTGTTTGTGCTCTGTTTTTTATTCCTATGCATCTTTGACAGTCCTGGTATTCATTATGTAGACAAGCTCACCTTGATTTCATGGCAATTCTCCTGCCTCAGCCTTTTCAATGCTAGGACTAAAGCATGAACAACTAGTTACTATTATTTTTTTTACAAATTAATTTAAAAAGATAGTTTGCTTGGGTTCTGAAACAGTGTCAAGTGGCCCATACTGCCTTTGAACCGAACAGTCAAGGAGGACTCTCCACACATGATTCTCTTGCTTCCCCATCCCAGCATATTGCACCCAGGCAGTTTGAAGCGTTAACATAAACACCTAAGAGTTATGTAAACTCTCAGGAGGCAGAGACAGGCAGAGCTGAATTCAAGGCTAACCTGGTATATAGAAGAAGTTTCAAGGCAACTAGGGCTAAACAGAGAAACCCTGTCTCAAAAAACAAAATAATTACTGTAAAATATCCAGATTTTCAAAAGTTTATTATTACATTTACTTATTGATGTGTATGTATGTGGATACACACATGCCATGACACGTGTGGAGGTCAGAGGACAAGTTGCTTCTCTCATCCTACCACATGAGTCCTAGGGACCAAACTCAGATCATTAGATCTGGTAGCAAGTTCCTTTACCGGCTAAGTTATCTTTCCAATTCTATTTTGAGATATAACCTCACTATATAGCTTGCTGGTTTTGAATCTGAAATCTTCCTACCTCTGTCTCCTGAGGCCTGGGATTACAGGTGTATGCCACAATGTTTGGTTCTGAGTTTTAATTTCTTTTTTTTTAAATATTTATTTATTATGTATACAGTATTCTCAGTACTCTGCCTGCAAGCCAGAAGTGGGCACAGATCTCATTACAGATGGTTGCGAGCCACCATATGGTTGCTGGGACTTGAACTCAACGCTTGGAAGAGCAAGCGGTGCTCTTAACTACTGAGCCACCTCTCCAGCCCGAGTTTTAATTTCTTATTTAGTAAATACTGATAGATGTTAATACATATAAACAAAATCTTTGAGAGTCTTCAACACAGTTTGAGAATAAAAGAGGTTCTGAAACCATCTAACCTGGAATGTCCCCGAAGCACCTTTGCCAGTTATCTGCTCTAACTGGCCTCTCTCTACTGCTCTCTGCAGAGCATTCTTCAACAACTGAGGCCTGTAGAGAAAAACAAAAAACAGTGATAAATCTGTTAATGAAAGAAAACTTGCAGAAAAAGAGCTGGCCTATTTCCAGATCTAAACGTGTAATTCCTGTTATGTGTAATATCCTGTTAAAATGAACAAACACAACACCAAACAGCTGGCATCCTGGACAAGTAGAATTTCTTTCCTCTTAAAGAAGCTATTATTGACATAGATATAATCCTTAGCATACAGAACAAACTTTTCTAATTGCCAGGATGTGACAAAACCCTGCAATTTACTACCATCAGACTGATAAATGCCCTGAACAATTAAATAAAGCAAAGGCATCTTTTCCCCTGCTATGTTGCCCAAGTCACACAAAGGTTTTGGCTTTAATCATACCAACCAAATTCATATGTGGGATATATAAGAATACTTTTTAAAAAAGTCATTTTGGTGGTAACTGATACAGGTCCTAAGGAATAGCATCTGAAGTTGACCTCTGGCCTCCACATGCACATGTACACACATGAGTGTGTGTCCCCCAATATGTACACTCTATCACCCCAAAAGAAAAAATAAGTAATAAGGGATCCTGCCAGCATCTTTTTTTTTTTTTTTTTTTTTTGGTTTTTCGAGACAGAGTTTCTCTGTGGCTTTGGTTCCTGTCCTGGAACTAGCACTGTAGACCAGGCTGGTCTCAAACTCACAGAGATCCGCCTGCCTCTGCCTCCCGAGTGCTGGGATTAAAGGCGTGCGCCACCATCGCCTGGCGATCCTGCCAGCATCTTAACACAGTATGATTATAGATAGAAAACACTCATGCTTATTCCACTATAACCACAGACTATAAGTAACTGTGGGAAGCAAACTTATATTGTAATGTCAATGACAATGATGAAGATGACAAAGCAATTAAAGCAGTCCACTGGAATGACTTTAAAGATCTGAGCAGCCAATGATACGGCTTAGTCAGTAAAGGCCTTTGTCAAGCCTGAAAACCTGAGTTCACTCAAGTGGTGCAAGAGAAGAACTGACTTTAAAAAAAAAAAAAAAAAAAGAGGGGGGTTGCTGGAGAGATGGCTCAGCAGTTAAGAACATTGGCTGCTCTTCCAAAGGTCCAGAGTTCAATTCCCAGCAACCACATGGTGGCTCACAACTATCTGTAATGGGGCCTAGTGCCCTCTTCTAGCCTGCAGGCATACACAGACAGAATATTGTATACCTAATAAATAAATATTTAAAAAAGAGAGAAAAGAACCGACTTCCACAATCGTTCTGTGGCATGTGTACCTGACACAAATACACATAGTAAAAAACCTTTTTTTCTTTAAAAGGTTGTCAGGACTTCACTGTGACTGCTGAGAAAAAAAGCGCGGAGGGAGAGATTTTCAATAAAAAGGTGATGGAAACTGGGCAGTGGTGGCACACACCTTTAATCCCAGCACTTGGGAGGCAGAGGCAAGTGGATCTCTGTGAATTGGAAGCCAGCCTGGTCAACAACTATGACAACCTAAGTGATTGGTCTAGATGTTCTGAGAGCCAGATGTGGTATAAGCTTTTATTCCCAGCTTTCAGGAGGAAGAGACAAAGGCAGGTGGATTTCTGTGAATTCAAGGGCAGTTTGAGCTACATACTAAGACTCTGTCTCAAACACATGAAACAAACACACACACACAAAGATAGTTTTATGTTTAAATGATGAAGATATGCTATTTCTATACATTTATTAAGTTATCTCCCCTTTAAAAAGGTTTTTAATTAATTTTTGTGGGCACATGTATGTAAATCAGATGACAATCATCAAAAGACAGTTCTCTCTTTACACCATGTGGGTCTTGGGGACAATATTAAGGCCATCAGGCTTGGCATCTCTATGGCTTCTATTTGCTATTAAATAAAGCCTGAGCCAGGCGGTAGTGGCACACGCCTTTAATCCCAGCACTGGGGGGGGGGGGGGG